GAGGGCTGACTAATCCCATTCAGGATCTTCTTGGATGTTCTCCTGTCAGTCAATGGCGGTGAAAAAAAAAAAAATGGAATAAAAAAAAAATGGAAATCTTTAATAAACGTTTGACGTTTGCGATCTTGCGGTTCTCTTTCCTCGCCAAAAATATAAATGGCCAAAAATGCGATTCTTGGCGTTGGGATTGTGCGAGCTCGGGAACTGACAGGTCCTGAGTGTACCGACTTGGCCTGGAGCCCCGCAGGGGAACGTGGGCGAGGTTCGTTTCATTCGCAGCCAAAGCGTTTCGGCTGATGGTTACACCTGTCAATCGCTTCCCGATCGTTTAGCAGATTTAAATATCCCATTAAGGGCCCAGCCCAGTTAACGAGCTAAGGGGAGAAAAAAATGGGGCTTAAAGTGAACCTGTATTAAACCCCCCCCCCCCCCTGCTGTGTAGACGGCTGCTCGTCTGTGCGCCTGTCCGCTGTCAGTATCTGTGCTGATGCCCCTAGTGGTTGGCGTTTGCACATGCAAGACACACCCCGCCCTCTGCTTCCCATGTGATTGCACTGTGGCTTAGGGATTGGCTGTTCAGGCACTTAGTACTGCCTGGGAGGAGGGCTGGTGTACGCCCCTGAGGTACTGCAAGCAGGAGGGTGGAAGGGAACCAAAAGGCAGCGGCTGCCATTGTCCAGATGTAGATGCCGATATCCTCACCAGCAGGGGCGGACTGACCATTCGTGCATTTGGGCACTGCCTGAGGGCCCGGGGTCAGTAGGGGGCCCCATGAGATGCCCCTGGTACCTTTCATAGGCTTTTTTGGGTGTGGTTTGAGTGTGTGCTAGGACACAGGGGCCCCATGATCCCCTATTGCCCGGGGGCCCCATGAGTTGTCAGTCCACCCCTGCTCACCAGTCATCCTTCTATCACTTAATGAGCTTCATGAATACTGGCCGTAGTTCCTGACTTCACTGTCTACATGCTTTTTAAGCCCAGGTTCACACTGAGCAGTACGGAATTCGCACCAGCTTTTCACCATAACTGCACCCCGTTCATGCGAACTGCTGCAGGTGAGTATTTTAGGGCGACAACTTGCGCAGAATCCACCCATGCGATCCGATTCTGGTGAGGGAAAAAAAAAAGGGTCCCGCACTATTTTGGTGCGGGTGCAGTGTGATTAGAGCCATAAAACATGTATGACTCAAATCGCACCACACAGAAAACGCATGTGATTTGCGCAGGAATTGTGGTTCCTGTGCGAATCAGACGCCATGTGCCGCACCGCATCAGCGTGAACCTGGACTGAGTGTTAGAGGTTCAGGGAGGGGAGGTGTCAGGATAAACAGGGGGGCATTTAGTGTTTAGGATCATGGCTGGGACAAGGGGTGGGCAGGAGGGGCACTTGCCCTGGGCACTGTGGGTGGGGGTACCTCAAGGAGTTTGGGGGGGGGGGATTTGTGTTGGTACGAGGAATTTGTGGGAAAGCAATGGGTATGAATTACTCTAGAAGGAGAAATTTGGGGGGGGGGGGGGTGCCAGAAGTTGTGATTTGGGAGGATTTGTGTTGGGGGGCAGAAGAAGATTTGTGCTAGGAGCAGGGATTTGGGAGCTTTGTGCTAGTTAACGAGGGGGGGGGGGGGGGGGTTCATGCTAGGAAAGGAATTTTTTGGTTTTTTGAGATGGGGGGGGGGGGGGGGGGGGGTTCTGCTAGGAGGGATGATGGGGAATTTGTGCTAGGAGGAGGGGATTCGGAGTTGGGAGGAGAGGTTTCGGAGTTGGGAGGAGAGGATATGTCCTGGGCAGGGGCGGACTGACCATTTTGGTGAGGGCCCGGGGTCAGTAGAGGGACCCATGAGATGCCCCTGGTACCTTTTTCATAGGCTTTTTTGAATTTGGGCAAGGACACAGGGGCCCCATGATCCCCTATTGCCCGGGGGCCCCATGAGTTGTCAGTCCGCCCCTGGTCCTGGGAATGGAAATTTGAGGGAATTTTGTGCCGGGAAGAGTGATTTTTTTGGGGGGATCGATAGGAGAGAGGATTTGAGCTGGGAGGGAGGATGGGCAGCAAAGATTTGTGGTGGGAGGGGGATTTCAGCCAGGGGGGCCAATTTGTCCGCGGAGGAGAGGGAATTTGTGCTTACAGGGTTTACATGCATGCATGGGGAGAAGCAATGTCCTCAGGGGCGGACTGACCATTTGGAAACTCGGGCACTGCCCGAGGGCCCGGGGTCAGTAGGGGGCCCCATGAGATGCCCCTGGTACCTTTTTCATAGGCTTTTTTGAGTGTGGGCAAGGACACAGGGGCCCCATGATCCCCTATTGCCCGGGGGCCCCATGAGTTGTCAGTCCACCCCTGGTCCTGGGAATGGAAATTTGAGGGGATTTATGCCGGGAAGAGTGATTTTTTTGGGGGGATCGATAGGAGAGAGGATTTGAGCTGGGAGGGAGGATGGGCGGCAAAGATTTGTGGTGGGAGGGGGATTTCAGCCAGGGGGGCCAATTTGTCTGCGGAGGAGAGGGAATTTGTGCTTAGAGGGTTTACATGCATGGGGAGAAGCAATGTCCTCAGGAGCAGACTGACCATTTGGAAACTCGAGCACTGCCCGAGGGCCCGGGGTCAGTAGGGGGTCCCATGAGATGCCCCATGTACCTTTTTCATAGGCTTTTTTGAGTTTGGGCAAGGACACAGGGGACCCATGGACCCCTATTGCCTGGGGGCCCCACAAGTTGTCAGTCTGCCCCTGGCGAGGACACAGGGGCCCCATGATCCCCTATTGCCCGGGGGCCCCATGAGTTGTCAGTCCGCCCCTCAATATCTCAGACAACTCTCGCCAAGACTGGTTCTCTTTAGGTGTCACAAGCCAAGAGGTGACGTCACGGAGATCCATCCCACCCCACCACGGACTCGCCTCTTCTCCACCACGCCGGCAGGAGAGTCCCAACATGTTGTGGAATTAGCCGGCTTTGATAATTGTCCAAAAGCCTAATCTCCCTTGTCATGACACAACTCACAAGTGCTTTATCCATGTTATAAATCTGTCTCAACTTCTCAACAAACATTTCTCGTTTTTTTTTTTTTTTTTTGGCCTTTTAGATCTGCCAGTCCGTGGAAGCCGAGGAAGACGGCGTTTCCGCGTAATAACAATTCTCACCCATCAAAGGAGGAATAAAACCCGCCGGTAGCCCAAGCGGAAGTTTTCATTGTTCCGATCTCTGGCAGTCGTGAGACGTCCTTGTCTTGGATCTGTCATCGGAGAGAGAGATCGGCGTGCGCAGCGCAAAACGCTCGCCAAACATCAGGCGTAAAATGACACCTTTCATCAGTCTGTCTCCTGGAAGAGGCTACTGTACGAGGTTCACGGGATTAGAACAAAGAGAAAACCAAGAAAAGACAACTTGTTATAAGATTTCCCCGGCAGTACTTGTTTTCTGCCACTAGATGTCCTTAGTCTGTTGGCCAGCATCAATTCAACCTACTTCCTTTGAGCCCAAGTCATCCTGGGCCCACCTCCAGCCTGTGATTGGACAGCGATATGAGTCTGTTAGGGCAGGAGACCTGATTCTTCTTTAACACTTACAGGTGTTTCCCCTCCCCCCACAATGGACAGTGGAACTGGTAAACTCATATCTCTGTCACTCTGCTCTCTCCTCCTATCAGCATGCTCCTTGTCAGCACGTGAACCGATCGGCTCTTTGTGCAGCTTCTTACTCTCCCAGTCCCAAATAAAAGGTACAGATCTGGATTTTGTCATGCTTTTGGCATTCCAAAGTAAAAGGGTCGCCTTCACACTCCTTCCCCTCTGTTCAGTTTAAAATGCCACTTACTGCACTGACATACCTCCATAGACCCAGCCTGTCTGGACGCCACGCTCAACTGCTGACTCGGCACCATCCACAGGCAGCTTAACTCTTCAATAATACACAGTTGAATCCAATACACTGAGATAATTGCAGTACAGAGGAAGTTTTTCTAATTTTTTTAATTGGAAGACAATCAGGAGAACTTACTGAAAAAAAGGAGCAGCCAGAATTTGCGTGGCAACCAATCAGCTTTCTTATCTTTCATTTGCATGGGCGAACTAATAAGCAAAGTATAAGCTGATTGGTCCAGGACCCCGCATTCACTATATCCGCTCTCCCCAGACCCCGCATTCACTATATCCGCTCTCCCCAGACCCTGCATTCACTATATCCGCTCTCCCCAGACCCTGCATTCACTATATCCGCTCTCCCCGGACCCCGCATTCACTATATCCGCTCTTCCCGGACCCCGCATTCACTATATCCGCTCTCCCCGGACCCCGCATTTCACTATATCCGCTCTCCCCGGACCCTGCATTCACTATATCCGCTCTCCCCGGACCCCGCATTCCCTATATCCGGTCCCCCCGGACCCCGCATTCACTATATCCGCTCTCCCCGGACCCCGCATTCACTATATCCGCTCTCCCCGGACCCACTATATCCGCTCTTCCCCGCATTCACTATATCCGCTCTCCCGGACCCTGCATTCACTATATCCGCTCTCCCACTAGACCCCCCGCATTCACTATATCCGCTCTCCCCAGACCCTGCATTCATTATATCTGGTCTCCTTGGACCCCGCATTCACTATATCTGCTCTCCCCGTACCCCGCATTCACAATATCCGCTCTCCCCAGACCCTGCATTCACTATATCCGCTCTCCCCAGACCCTGCATTCATTATATCTGGTCTCCTTGGACCCCGCATTCACTATATCCTCTCTCCCCGGACCCCGCATTCACTATATCCGCTCTCCCCGGACCCCGCATTCACTATATCTCGCTCTCCCGGACCCCGCATTCACTATATCCGCTCTCCCTGGACCCTGCATTCACTATATCCGCTCTCCCCAGACCCCGCATTCACTATATCCGCTCTCCCCAGACCCGCATTCACTATATCCGCTCTCCCCGGACCCTGCATTCACTATATCTGGTCTCATTGGACCCTGAATTCACTATATCTGGTCTCATTGGACCCTGACTCACTATATCCGGTCTCCCCGGACCCCGCATTCACTATATCCGCTCTCCCCGGACCCCGCATTCACTATATCCGCTCTCCCCGGACCCCGCATTCACTATATCCGCTCTCCCCGGACCCTGCATTCATTATATCCGGTTTCTCCGGACCCTGCATTTACTATATCCGCTCTCCCCGGACCCCGCATTCACTATATCCGCTCTCCCCCGGACCCTGCATTCACTATATCCGCTCTCCCCGGACCCCGCATTCACTATATCCGCTCTCCCCGGACCCTGCATTCACTATATCCGCTCTCCCCGGACCCCGCATTCACTATATCCTTTCTCCCCGGACCCCGCATTCACTATATCCGCTCTCCCCGGACCCCGCATTCACTATATCCGCTCTCCCCCGGACCCCGCATTCACTATGTCCGCTCTCCCCGGACCCCGCATTCACTATATCCGCTCTCCCCGGACCCCCGCATTCACTATGTCCGCTCTCCCCGGACCCCGCATTCACTATATCCGCTCTCCCCGGACCCTGCATTCACTATATCCGCTCTCTCCGGACCCCGCATTCACTATATCCTTTCTCCCCGGACCCCGCATTCACTATATCCTTTCTCCCCGGACCCCGCATTCACTATATCCTTTCTCCCCGGACCCCGCATTCACTATATCCTTTCTCCCCGGACCCCGCATTCACTATATCCTTTCTCCCCGGACCCCGCATTCACTATATCCGCTCTCCCCGGACCCCGCATTCACTATATCCTTTCTCCCCGGACCCCGCATTCACTATATCCTTTCTCCCCGGACCCCGCATTCACTATATCCTTTCTCCCCGGACCCTGCATTCACTATATCCGCTCTCCCCTGGGCGAATGGGGCTATTTTTTTTCTGCAGGTCGAATGTTCTTTATTCATAATAACAGAATTAATCAGTATTTATTTATTTCAGGTACTTATATAGTGCCGTCAATTTACGCAGCACTTTACTTATATATTGTACATTCACATCGGTCCCTAACCCTCAAGGGGTGTACAATCTAAGGTCCCTAACCCTCAAGGGGTGTACAATCTAAGGTCCCTAACCCTCAAGGGGGGTACAATCTAAGGACCCTAACCCTCAAGGGGCGTACAATCTAAGGTCCCTAACCCCCAAGGGGCGTACAATCTAAGGTCCCTAACCCTCAAGGGGGCGTACAATCTAAGGTCCCTAACGCTCAAGGGGTGTACAATCTAAGGTCCCTAACCCTCAAGGGGCGTACAATCTAAGGTCCCTGACCCTCAAGGGGTGTACAATCTAAGGTCTCTATCCCTCAAGGGGCGTACAATCTAAGGTCCCTAACCCTCAAGGGGCGTACAATCTAAGGTCTCTATCCCTCAAGGGGTGTACAATCTAAGGTCCCTGACCCTCAAGGGGCGTACAATCTAAGGTCCCTGACCCTCAAGGGGGTACAATCTAAGGTCCCTAACCCTCAAGGGGCGTACAATCTAAGGTCCCTGACCCTCAAGGGGGTACAATCTAAGGTCACTAACCCTCAAGGGGCGTACAATCTAAGGTCCCTGACCCTCAAGGGGTGTACAATCTAAGGTCCCTAACCCTCAAGGGGCGTACAATCTAAGGTCCCTGACCCTCAAGGGGGTACAATCTAAGGTCACTAACCCTCAAGGGGCGTACAATCTAAGGTCCCTGACCCTCAAGGGGGTACAATCTAAGGTCTCTATCCCTGAAGGGGCGTACAATCTAAGGTCTCTATCCCTCAAGGGGCGTACAATCTAACTCACATTCATACATACACATATTAGGGACAATTTAGACAGGATCCAAATAACCTACCAGCATGTCTTTGCAGTGTGGGAGGAAACCGGAGTACCCGGAGGACAGGGAGAATATGCAAACTCCAGGCAGGAGTTGCCGTGGTCAGAATTCAAACCAATGACCCCTAGTACTGCCAGGAGGAAGTGCTAACCATTTAGCCACTGTGCTACCCTAATACTGCCACTAGATGGTGCTGATGATTACAGGAAATAAATCATTTTTTTAATCTCTTTCATTTAATTTCCCTCCAGGTTAAATGTTATTGATTCATAACAAAACAAAAAAATGAAGCTGTTTTGGGAAAATACCCCATCATGGCCATTAGATGGAGCCAACGATCCTCGCGAATAGTATTTATTTTCTTCGCTCGTCGGGCTCCATCTACTGGCGGTATCTTTGGACGTATTCTATTCTTATGAATGAGGAACATTCGATCCGAAGAGAAAAAAAAAGCCTAATAACATTCCATTTTGTCCCATGTGTGCTCAGAACGAAGGAACATGCAGGTTCACAGGACGAACCGCTCTGCCATTAAGCTCCGCTCTGCGATTTGGAATGGCAGATACATTCCTAATCATCGTGGCCCCTGGAAGGCTCCAGTAAATTGTTTATTTAGAATGGAGAATGATGAGCGGCGGCGGATCTTACGGTTACACATTGTCTATAAATTGCCGGCTGATTAACATATTACCATGTTATGGTTACGCAGAAGAAAAGAGCGACAGGCTGCTTGTCACATTGACGCTCCCGGAGGGTGGAAAGTTACTCTTGGAAAATGCTACAACTAGAGCAAGGGGGGGGGGGGGTAGGAGTGTTGGGGGGGGGGGGGGTAGATGAGAGCTACCAATCGGTGCAGCTTCTGAGGTGCGACTTAATTTTTAATTAAGAACAAGCCTGGGGGGACGACATACCGGCTTTGAAGTGCCGGCAGTTTTGACATGACTGGGTGGTGAAAATCAGCAGATTATCATGTCAAGTTGTGCGTCCCGCAGGAGCGACTTACCACATTCCGCTGTAGCATCAGCTGTCTGCCTAACAGGACTGGGAGCGCTGGGCGGAAAAAACACGGCCCGCAACGGGGGCACCCCCACCGGCCTCTGCCAGGAAGACATCACTTCCATGTGTCTGTTTCTGTTTTCTTTTATTTGTATACAAATCTCACCTTTGTGGAGGAGAGGAAACATCCGTCTGTATGGAGGAAGAGCGGAAGGAGGAATGTTCATGGTGGACGCCGCTCTGGATTCACATTTATATTGTTTATTAAAGATTTATTCCGGAATTCCTCGATGGATGGAGGGATGGATGGATGGAGGGATGGATGGATGGATGGATGGATGGATGGATGGAGGGAGGGAGGGAGGGAGGGAGGGATGGATGGATGGATGGATGAATGGAGGGATGGATGGATGGATGGATGGATAGATAGATAGATAGATAGATAGATAGATGGGGGAAAAAGATAGAAAAAGGAAAGAACACACCTCATGATGGACAGAGGGATGGATGAACAGACAGATGGATGGATGGATGGATGGATGAGTGGATGGATGGATGAACGGATAGATTGACGGATTAATGGATGATGGATGGACGGACGGATGGTTGGATAGATGGATGGACGGACAGATTGATGGATGGATGAGTGGATGGACAGAGAAACGGACAAATGGATGGATGGATGGATGGATGGACAGATGGGTGGATGGACGGACGGACAAAATGGATGGACAGATGGGCGGATGGATGAGGAAAAGAGAGAAAGGAAAGAATGCACCTCATGATGGACAGATGAATGGATGGATAGATGGATGGACGGATGGATGGACAGATGGATGGATGAATGCACAGATGGATGGATGGACAGATGAGTGGACAGATAGATGGATGAGTGAACTGATGGATGGACAGATAGACGGACGGATGGATGGGGGGATGGATGGGCGGATGAACGGACATATGGATGGATGGACGTATGGATGGATGGACAGATGAGTGGACGGGTGGATGGATGAGTGGACGGATGGATGAGTGGACGGATGAACGGATGAATGGATGGATGAGCAGGTGGATGGATGAGGGGATGGATGGGGGATGGACAGATGGATGAAAGTATGGATGGATGGACAGATGAGTGGATGGATGGATGGATGGACGTATGGAAGTATAGATGGCTGAACAGATGGATGAACGGATGGATGGATGGAAATATGGATGGATGGACGTATGGACAGATGGATGGATGGATGAAAGTGTGGATGGACAGACATATGGATGGATGGACAGATGGATGGATGGACAGATGGATGGACGGATAGATGGACGGAAGGACGGATGGGCAGATGAGCGGATGTACGGATGGATGGAAGGACAGACGGATGGACGGGCAGATGGGCGGATGGACGAATGGATGGACGGACATATGGATGTATGGATGGATAGATGGATGGACGGAAGGACGGACCGATGGGCGGATGTATGGACGGACATATGGTAGGATGGACGTATGGATGGAGGGACAGACGGATGAATGGATGGATAGAGGGATGGACGGATGGAAGGACAGACGTATGGATGGATGGAGGGACAGACGGATGAATGGATGGATAGAGGGATGGACGGATGGAAGGATGGACGTATGGATGGATGGAGGGACAGACGGATGAATGGATGGATAGAGGGATGGACGGATGGAAGGAAGGACGTATGGATGGATGGATGGATGAGTGGATGGATGGAGGGACAGACGGATGAATGGATAGAGGGATGGACAGATGGAAGGATGGATGTATGGATGGATGGATGAGTGGATGGATGGGGGGATGGACGGATGGAAGGACGGACGTATGGATGGATGAGCGGATGGATGGGGGATGGACGGAAGTATGGATGGATGGATGGTGGTGGGTGGATGGACAGACAGATGGATGAATACATTGTACATTTGCCTGCAGTAGAACAATCTTTGCTCCCCATGAACCATTCTGCGCCCGTCCTGCGCTCTCCCGATAATCGCGCTCAGTAGTGTGGATTTCCGTGTCATGAATGATGTATTAATCGATGACACCGCGCTCTCACACATCATCGCCGTGCGTTCAGCGCCCCACCCCTGCGACCGCGCTCTCCCACGCCTGTCATACACTGATAGACCGTTATTGGCGATTTTCATCTATTAAGGGATTATGAGCCGCAGTCCCACTTGGAGATAATTGGTGGGTGAAGAGCAGCGCTTTGGGCCATCGGATTCCAGCGCACATCGCTCTCCTAGATAAACAGACGCATTGTCTACGGGTGGGATGTGGTCACATGACTCCCGCGCCTCCTATACATTCGAGGATTCTTGCTGATCTGATGATTGTACATGAGATGGAGGCATAAGATCAACTCATCATTTCAGAGATCTACAGCTACAGCTAGGCCACTGAAAATGTCTACATGAAGCACAAGTACCTGGAGTCCCCTGCACAGCAGCACTCAGACTGGAAGAGGGTGGCGCTGCACTGACAGCAGGAGAGAGCAGAGTGAGCCAGAGGTCCAAGCTCATCAGCGTTCTGCTGCTCTTTCACTGTCCAATCACAGAACAAGGGTGGGGACATAACCAGACTGTAACTTATTTGCAGAAGAGAAAAAGTTTGGTCACCAAATCGCACGGCGATGATGATGTGTCATCACATGCCTGATGAAGGGGTCCTGCGAGGCCTCGAAACGTTGCTCGTGCTATAACTATGTGATTACTTAATAAAACTTTGGACCCGTATTGGAGATCCACGGTGAGCTGGTGACAGTCTTCTCCTCTGACTGCTCTAGGTT